TCTCTCTCTCTCTCTCCCCTTTCTGCCCCTCAGACTGACTCTCAGCCTCTTCTTCCTCTTCACCATCCTCCACCTCTTTGCCAACTACAAGGCTGTGCGTTCGGTTGTCATGGAGACCTTCAACGAGGCGCGGCTTTCGATCATGCTGCAGCAGTACCTGGGAGACAGACGGATCCTGAGTCCGCCAGAGGCCAATCAGAGAGAACCGGTTTTCTTTGGTAAGAGTCGTGAACTTGCTGATATTCTCTCGACTGTTTGTAACCAGTTCTGGCAGCATCGAGAAATAGTAAAATGTTAATTTTGTGGTTTAAAAATATGGATTCTTCTGTTTTTTTCCCAGAGTTTAGAAAAACGGTGCCAATCAGACTTGGAGTGAGGCTACAGGAGGTTGTACAAAGGTAATTTCATGCACCACTTTTGAGTATATGATGAAAATTACACTAAATAAAAGTTCAACATACAGTTAATTATATCATTTTGCTTATCTTGAAGCCCAGAGGAACTTAATTTGGCTTTGAAGAACAACAACATGCCTTTCCTATTAGGAGTACGAAATGGTATGTAATCTTCTCCTCCACAGGACGGCAGTGTGTTTAAGAGCCATATAACATACTTTGAATGTTTTCTTTAACTCATGTGTTCCTCTCAGGCTCCGTATGTGTTTGTTTGGGACCAGAAGCATCAATACACGATGAAATCAGAGCAATGTGCCAAGCTGTGTGGCTCAGCAGCATGTTGACTCCAACTTCCAGTGAGCCTTTACCACCATTCATTTCTTTACTTTACATTAATAGAGGTGCTTTGTCTGTTTTACATGGTACACACTTTTATTTTTATTTTTTTAAAGGTCACTGGCAAATGGTACATGAGAGTCACAAAGTGATGGACACAATTTTCAATCCATTTCTCAAAGGTGAGCAGACATATAACAGTTTTAACCTACAAATCTTCATCTTTATCCTGCGTTATTTTACCTAAAGATACATGATTTGCTGATATGATTTCCAGGTGTGGAAGCTGCAGGATGGGACATGAAACGAACTCTACTGGACTGGGATGAGTGGAGGGTCGAGTGGAAAACAAAAAGCAGCTGAGCTGTCACCTGCTGCAAATTTTGCATCCTTTATATCACATTTTTCATGTTAATTAAACAGTGACATTTTAAGTATCCCTTGTTTGATTCATTCTGTGGTCAAATCTAAGTGGGTTTGATACAAGTTGAGAAAAAAATTAAATATTTGCACGGGAATATTTTTATTTTTACATGTATATAAAAATTGGAGGGTCAGTGAGCAAATATTAATTGAACTTTTATTTTTTTTTGCATTACATTTTTCTGTATGTAAATAAACAATAACTGACTGGTCTTCTGCCTTTTATCCGTAAGGGGGCGCTAGAGGGCATTCATATGCAAATAAAAAACACCGCGAAGAAGAAGAAACGGTCAAGTTACCAATATTTTTAGCGGAAATTAAACATTTATAAACCAGAGAACATAAAAAAATACAGTTTTATATTACAATAACGGCGTATAATACAAGACAAGCAAAAATAAAATGCCAAATATTATATACCTTTTAACGTTTCGTCAACGGCTTTTTACTCCAACCGCTCTCGAAGTGTTTGTGAGGCTCTTATTGTGAAATCTGTAACCGGATGTCGAGCTGGCATTGCAAACTGTAGTGGTCGCTTAAACAACTGGAGCAAAAACAATCACTTTGGCCCCAAATTTAACGAAACTGTGTACAAAATGGGAAGATATAAATGCGCCTACAACTGCGAGACCTCCAGCGATTCAGATGTGAAGTTTTTCAAGTGAGTATTGACCGTTTTTCCTCTAAATAAAGAGAGAAATAGCTCGAATTTGCTAACATAAACATCAGTGTGACTCATTCATATTTATCCACTTTTTGGGGGTTTTGCTGGTTAAGTTTTTCCAGCTTGTGTTGACGTTTTAAATAACTGCAAACAATATATAATATAAGCAATCAACCTAATCGACAAAAAAGTTAATTAATCTGCAAATACTTTCAAAATCGATTCATCCTTTTAAGCAGAAAACCAAACATTGTTTCATCTTTTCAAGAGTTAAAGACTAGAAGCAGACCTGTAGCTAGTATTAACCATTGACAGCACATATAATATAATGCAAAATATAGCAGGATTTATAAGTAAAAACCCTTAAATAATATTTTACTATGAAGACATTTTGCAGGTAAAAGTTACTGACTTTTAAATGGAGTTCAGTGTTGTGTTTCCTTCACAGTGTTGGTGCTGTTTTAATGAATCGTGTGCTGCTGTTGCTGCTGCAGGTTTCCCTTGTTCAATCCCCGAAAACTGAAGAAGTGGCTTATCAACATGAAGTGGAAGGACTGGACCCCATCTCGCTTCTCTGTGCTGTGCATCAATCATTTTGAGGAACAATACATTGACAGAACTGGAAAGTGTGTGAAACTTCGAGAAGACGCAGTCCCCACCATATTTTCCTCCGCTGACAACACACAGAAAAGAAAGGTGTGTATGTAGTCAGTGGATCACTGAGAGATAAAGAACAAGACACTGAAACTCTAAAACCTTTAAAAGCCTGTTAGCTTCATTAAAAAAAAATAATCTTCTTTATTTTTTTTGATAATTCTCTAAAATAAAGATCTCAATTACTGTCTCTGTCCCCCTGATGTAGGCTTCCATCAACCCAAGAAGTAAGAGACACAAGGTGAGAGCACATATGGACATAAATATTGTAACTATAACTAACTAACTATACTATGTAATTAAATATATTAACATTAAATGTTCAAATTCTGTGATTCAGCTGTCAGTTGTGGTCATTTTATCAAGCTTGTTGGTCAATTTTCTTATAAAACCTTGTTTGCTCAAATGGAGCTTTCTTGGATTTGGGTTAAAAGATCAAATGTATTACAACCACAATCAGTACCACACTCTTCTGACCCCAGTGTGTGTTTCTCCCTCGTATTGTGAACCCAGCCGCCTGCTGTTAAAGCCTCACAGACGAGTCCAGCTCAGCCTCCAACTACCACTGATGCCACAGCAAAGCGAAGCGTCCAGAACAAAGAGTCCAGACAGACAGAAGAAGAGCCTGCCAGGTATGTGACTGGCTCAGATGGCAGAGCGGGTCGTCTGGTAATCTGAGGGTTACTGGTTCAATTCCTGGTTCCCCAAGTCCAATCAAAGTGTCCTCGGGCGAGATAATGAACCCCAAATTGCACCTGATGTCTTTGTCGTCGAGTGTGTGTGTGTGTGTGGTTCAGTTTGCATTAGAATCTGTGAACAGCAGTTTCAGCTAAATCGGAAAAAGGTTGAACCTAAATTCCTGTATTAGGTATTTAGTGTTAGGTTTTTACCCATTTGGATTGTTGCCTCTTTAATTTGTTATCCCTTTCTGGTTTATGTTCAGAGACAAAGACCCAAAAAAGTCTGAGAAATGGAGGATTATAGTAGACGAAGGTCTGATGAAGATCGAGTCTTTTCCACATTTCTTCCATGGAGATTACTGTGTACCTCAGGTAAATGGTATTATATGTTATAGATAGTATACTTACTAATCACTGTTTTGATTACTTTGTGATCTCATTATTTATAGGAATTGTGGTACGGCATAAGGCAAGTTAAATACTCTTTGTTTGTTGTATTTTTCACATGTACTAACAGGATATTCAGTGGGCTCCAGATGATAATGTGAGTGTAAGTGATCGTCATGATTTTAAACTACAATATTTTGCCTTTTATACTGTATTATAAAGTATTTTAATGCTCTTCTGTAATTTCTTACAGAAAGAAGGTGAAGATCCTGAGAACGTGATAGAGGTACGTTACAACACGACTACCTGACATTACATTAAATACAGACTAAAGTGATTCGTGGCATTATTACTGCAATCACACTGTATTTCTGCATGACGTCATGCTGTGATGGCAGGTGAAAGAGCCGTGGCAGTGGCTTGGTCTGGATGTCAGAGGGCCGCTGCCCCAAACACTGAACGGACACAAATACGTTTTGACTGTGACAGACTACTACTCCAAGTGGGTGGAAGCTGTGCCTATGCAGTCGTGCCTCCCGTCACATGTGGTGAAGCACATCGTGGACATCATCGCCCACTTTGGATACCCGCTCAGAATCCTCTCCAGGCTGCCTCACGACATAGTCCACAAAGTGAGTGCTTTGTTGTGGAAAGCTTAAAGGTCCAGTTTGTAACATTTAGGAGGATCTATCAGATACAGATCGGATGTTTTTCAATGTGACCTCGGTGTGAACAGTCATATCAGAGTTCATGTGACTCTAGATATCACTAGAGGTCACTGATATGGGCTAATGTGAACATTTTAATAAAGTATTTGTGCAATATTGTGTGTCACACATTGTATTGTGTAAATGTATCTTCATGCTAGATCAACAGAGAACTGAAAGATCAGTTGAAGGTCGCCGTCGCTCTTGTCGTCTATCATCAGCAGACGGGCACTGCAGATCTGATCACGCAGCAGCTGATTGACAGGTACTATAATCTAATACTGTGGTAACGTGCGCACTTTGAGATGATTGGCGACCTCCATCTCTTGCCTGTAGCCTTTCTGCGCTGACATTTTTCAAACTGAGACCCTCTTGTCAGTAATGTAATGTGGACATCATGGCTCACACAGAAACATTTATTATATGTATCATATGTACACAGCCTACAAGGACACGTTTAAGCTATATCTCAATTGCAAATATCAAACACCCAGACTGTATTCGTTCTCTTTTATACTCTTCTGCATTGGTGTGATGAACTGATGAATGCTTTAAGGACACTGTAACTGAACATTCATCATCGTGCTTACATGTTCATGTTTTCACTCCTCTAATTGCTCCCCAACAGGATGGTAAGTGATCTAATAGAGGAGCATGCAGCTGACTGGGATGTCTACCTGCCTGCTAAGGTTTTCAGCCTGTGTTTCAAAGAGCATTCAAAGACTAAGGAAAGGCCCTTTTCAGTGCTCTGCTGTAAGGGACACGAGCCTGTCCAATCCCCCAGAGGACTGAATGTAAGTGTAACTTTTACACATTTAAATTTTGATAAGCTTTTGTTTTATATAAACTGTAAAATGACAATTGTCCTCTCTGTTCCACAGTATACTTATTCCAAAATCCGAGAGAGTGTTTTCGTGATTAGATAGAGATTCAAAGTTTGTTTGGTGAGTTGAATTTATTTAATTTTTGTGTGCGAGTACAAACAATACTTTCATATAATATTCTACATTTTTCTGGGGTCATGGAATTTGTGGAATGTCTTGACATTTTGGTCAGTGAATCTGAGGATATAACTCTCACTCAGTATTACTCTTCAGGTCAATTGATGTAGGAATCAAACTGGACTCGGTTTTTACTAACAAACCAGGAAGGAAGTATTATGGAGACCTTGTGAAGGACTGTCATTGATAAGTGCTGGTGTTCTGCTGTACTTCATGGCCACAGTGGAGAACGTGGTAAACCCTGATAGTTGGACCCGTATGAGGACTGAAACTGAACATTTCTACAGTGTCATCCACTCTCTGAGGACTCAACGTCACTTTCAACCTGTTCAATCAAAAGTAATGTAATGTTTTATTACAGATGTTAACAACACTGAACAATGAACAACGAATTGTGTTTGAAATGCTGGAACCAGAGGGGTAGTTTGAGCTTGAGCCATATGAGTCTGATATAACATTGGATTTGTCTGTGTGGTCTCTCCTAAGCAACTGTAAGTCAGCTGTAGTCCGAACAAGCATTTGAGTCTACTGTGCCTGATTGTTTGTTGTTGTTTTATGTCTATAAAATGTAAAACATGTCAATAAACTTCAAATACGAATTTTTCTGATTACACCTTGCAATGTGGGACTACAAAAATACTCATGTATTTACATATGAGTAGTGAGCAGTAACTCATTACTAGTAATAATATTACTTTTCCCAGTAACCAGCAGTTACTAATAAATTTCAGTAATATTACAGTTACTCCTCAAAAAAATAATCAGTTACAATTAATTTAGAATATGGAAATACTCCTTTACTTTGATTTTAACAAACAAAACTGGATTTTAATCTTCATAAGACACAAAAAGTGTAAAAGTGAAACTAATTACAGTAATAAGTAAAGTAATTATATCACTTTTTAAAACAGTAATGAGTCATAAATATTTTTTTTTGAGTAACTAGCCCACCACTGGTGGTGAGCATAGTATGTAGGGCATCTGCAACTTAAGAATTAAACCTGAGTTGCATCTGCACCTGCACAGACTATTTCACATTATGCAAAGACAATTTGGAGCCTCATTGTTTACAGATGACAGTGTTATAGTCGGAAACAATACCAGAAAGCAGTTTAATATTTGTATGACAACTGTATCTGTGTGTCTATGTATGCGTGTAATGTTTTAGGTGTTTCAACCTCTTTCTGTATCACATTTTTTTGTAGCAGCCACTGACCAGCCAACCAAGTCGAAAGGTCGTAAACATGATATAAAAAAACAAACAATCTTAAAACAGCTTGTGGCACCTGGGTTGATTGGTATGTCTCAGCTGCTGTCAGTTCAGCTGTCTCGGTCACTGTGGTGACAGCTGCTGTCAGGCTGAGAGGATGAGGAAACAAGTCCTCCCGCGTAAAAGACCCGACAGAGTGAAGAAACACCTGTTAGTTTCACCAGTGAGGGAGACATTATGAAGGTCTATAAAAACTGTACTACAGCAGGGTCTGAAAGAGGAATAAAGCTCCATGAGGAACCAAAATATTCAAATATAAATAATAATAAATAATAAAATACTTTCTTTGTTAAATTGTGCTGGTATCTTCAGCTGCAACTTAAAACTGAGATTTTGAAACCCACTTAGGTGCCTTAATTGTAGATAAATTACTTTATAATAAGGGTACAAATCATATACTAATAAGATTTGTACCCTCATTATAAAGTGTCACCAAAGTCTTACATCCTTGCAATCAGTCCTGTAAATAGGTGAAGACATGATTCAGATCCAAATTTCCAGAACTATTAGCTAATCAAAACACACTCTCTTTTCTACTTTTCACAAATTAAGGCACCTAATTGGAAAAAATAGCTTGCAGAACACTACTGAATGGTTCACATGACTGATAAATAAGTGGGTAAACAGGGGTGTAGTGCAGGGTATACATGAGGGTTCTCTCATTTGTGGAACTGGCTGGTTTTTAACAAATTTGGGGGCATAAATTAAGAGTATACCCACTTCT